GTCCCCTCTCCTGGTTCTGTATAAAGATCTTCAGCACTTCCTGCAACTCGGCCTTTTCTGTGGCACCCTCCAGTGGGTGGGAACAGGGAGGGAGGTGGGGAAGCCAGGGCTGGAAGGACAGGGGATTCAGCTGGGTGTGACTCTGCTCCTGAATATGCCTTCACTAGTTTCCCAAAAGGACCTTGGGGCTTTGCCATGAGGTGCCTGATAGCTGAAAACTGGGGCCAGGGTCTCCTTTCTCACCTTGGCAGGGGTGACCCAGCCCAGCTTCCCCGGAGACAGGGTGTGGGGAGTCCCTCCCGCTGGGTGAGTGCAACCGTCAGGCCCCAGGCCCATGGTCCCTAGTGGAGAGCAGCCGGCATCCCAGTCTCTCCTGCATGCTCCATCCTGGGGGTGCAGCCTCCTCAAAGCTCAGAGGGGCTCTCCTGAAGGGGCTCTGAGTGACAACCTGTGTGGATCCCTTTGTCCTGTTATGTGCACAGGCCAATGTTTCCACTCACCTTTGGGGAGCAGCTCCTCCAGGTCCCAGAGGACACTCCAAACAGGGCGGTCAGTGGTCAGGCCACAGCTCCCGACCGTCTGTAGCTGGTCATGGGGCTGAGCTGACCCTCATGGCCTCCTACCACTGTTCCTTCTCGATGCCCCTCATCCTGAGACACCCCCTGTCCCCATCAAGGTGGCTCCCAGGTGGGGCAACACAGACCTTCTCTCCTGTTGATCCACTGGGACAAGTGGGCAGCGTGTGTCCACTCATGGTCGTCACGCACAGGAGCACCTCATCTGCCCTAACGAGCTGCCTGACCTCTGATGTCTAGTTAAGAAGGTGCTGGAAGAATCGTCTGGAGATGGAGTCACACCAGTCTCTTCCCAAGACTCAGCTTGGGTCTGCCCAGCATGTGCAAGGCCCGGCCACCCAGTTCAGCAAACAGAAATGGCCCAGCAGAGGAGCTGGCCCTGCTGGGGCTCACCGACCTCCACCCACTCCTTCTGGGGTCAGCCTCCAGGATCCTAGCCCATAGGTGGGGAGCAGAGACCCTCAGGGCGTGTCAGTCAGGGCAGTCATCTCCTGCACTGAGAGTGGACCAAGGGATGGGCAACAGCAACAGAGGAGGAGGGGGTTTGGGACATGCAAGGGGCAGGTGGCCAGGCTGTGTGGGTAGCAGAAGTGAAGGGTACAGAGGGTCAGCAAGGCCTCCCAGGTTCTCACTGGGGGCATAGATGGAAAGGAAGATTGAACACAGAAGCCTGTATGTTCGAGGGGAAGATCAATTCACCTGCGAGGGGCGAGGGGGGTGCAGTGGGCATCCTGGGAGGGGCTGGACACCCTGCTTGGAGTTCAGGAGGTCTGGGAGGAAAGGGAAGGGGTGGGGCATCAGCCCCTGGTGGAAGCTGGAGCTGGGGGGGACCAGGGCTGCTCCGGGATTCCTGGGGTGGTGCACCCACGGCCGTGGGGGTGTGGGGGCACAAGGGGGGCCATTGTTTTATCTTCCTAGCTCCCAATTCAGAGGTGCACTGCTTCCCATTCTGAGAGCCTTCTCCCTTCCAGATGAGCTTTCTCGGGAGTCCGAGAGTGGTGGCGGCAGGTGATCTCCATTCACAGGATCCAAACAAAACTTAATCACCACCTCCAATGCAAACCAAGGGCCCTTTGTGAAGGGCAGGGAGGGGCCAGATCCTGTCTCCAGGTTGGCCCAGAGGGAGGGTAAATGGGTGGCCCGGAGGCCAAGTGACCCTGGAGCACTCTGTCCCCCCACCCCCAGGGGACACCCCACCCGGTCACCGAGTGGGAGCTTCCTTCAGGCCTGAGAGGGTGAGAGGTTTTATTCTTAGTTCCTAACCAAGCACATTTAACATAGAAACTGTTTTCATAACATAAAACGCTTCTAAAGAATTACTAACAGACGGGCAAGCCCATCCTAGTATGCAGAGCCTTGCCCGGAGGTGGGAGGTCCGAGGTCGGAAGCCCAGATGCTTCCAGGTGACACCCCCCCCAACCCGGCCCCCCAGCTAATCGCCTTGAATTCCGCCGATGGCTCCCCCGCGGGCTCCCTTCCACTCCGCAGGCCCCGCCTCCGACAGCTCTGCCCCGCCGAGCCTGACCTTGACTCTGTCAGTGGCTGTTTTAAGAACTGGAAGCTCCTGTTTCTCTGTATTATCCTGCGCATCTGGTGCCCACCGGATTCTCCTACAGTTTGCGGGGCTTTAGGCCGCGTCTTTGGATTCTCCGCTCTATCAGCTCACGTGTCCTGTGGGCGCAGAGCATTTTCCTTCCTCCTCTCCAGTTTTCATACCCGTTTCTCTCATGTCCGAGCGTGCTAAGACCTAGATCCCGGAGTTGTTGGCTCTTCCTACAGCGGGCACGTCTGTTTTTCTTGAACGTAGGAACTCCATCAGGGAGATACAGTACATTGCCCTGGCTGGAGTGGCTGGGGGGATGCTGTCCCCGCAGGCAGAGGCTGCTGGCTGGATTCCAGGCCAGGGCACTGCCTGGGTTGCAGGCTCAGTTCCCAGTAGGGGGCGCTGGGGAGGCAGCCGATTGACGGTTCTCTCTCATCGATGTTTCTATCTCCCTCTCCCTTCGTCTCTCTGAAATCAATAAAAAAATAAAAATAAAAAACAAACAGCCCTAGCTGGTTTGGCTCAGTGGTTAGAGCGTCGGCCGGTGGACTGAAGGGTGTCTGGTTCGATTCCGGCAAAGGGCACGTCCTCGGTTGCAGGTTCGATCCCTGGCCCTGGTCAGGGTGTGCATGTGGGAGGCAACCAATCGATGTGTCTCTCTCACATCGATGTTTCTCTCTTTCTCTCCCTCCTCCCTCCCTTCCATTCTCTCTGAAAAAGCAATGTAAAACATATCCTTGAGTGAGAATTAAAAAAAAAAAAATCAATGGAAAAAATATCTTCAGCTGAAGATTAACCAAAAAAATAAAAAAATCATTTGTATGGGTTTGTTTCTTGATTCTCAATTCTATTTCATTGATTTATGTCTTGTCTACTTGCTCTTATGAAACTTCCATTACAATGTTAAGTGGTAAAAGGAGGCATCCTGACTGACTCCTGACCGTAGGGACAAAACTTCCAGTCTTTCTCCACTGTGTATAAGAGATGTGTCTTTCATAAATATCCTTTATCATATTGAAAAAATTCTCATTTCTATGTCATTGAGGGCACTTATGAAAAGGGGGAAGGGGCATCCTGACCTTCTCCCTGCCCAGACTCAGTGGCCACTGAGGCTCCCGAGCCCCCCTGACCCAGCCATGAACCCAGCTGGACTCTGGAATAGTCTGGGGACCAGGACAGCAAGGTGGGGGTATATTCCGTGACTCTCCTGTCTCCAGGTCTCCATGCTCACCTTGCAGCCACCCTGGCTGGGATGGGGGTGGCCTCAAGGCTCAGGTGCATGTGGGGGAGTCACAGCAGTTGCGGGGGGCGGGGAGCAGGGACCAGCTGCGTGGGGAGCCCTTGGTGTTGCAAATACAAGCATTAGGTGTCACGTGCATGAGCCTTCCGGCCGCGCATGTCCCATGTGTGAGCCCAGCTGTGGGCACAAGGCCCCGCTGCACCTTCCAGGGTCAACATGCATCTGCTTGCAGGAGGGAGGCCCATGGACCTGCAACTGTGTCCCCGCCACACCCAACTAGGGGTGGAGTCAGGGCCACGTCCAAGCTAAGCCAGGTTAAGCAGTTCCTTGTCCAACACCTCATGGCACAATTGGGAAACTGAGTCTAGGAGAAGCAGAGACTGGCCCCTGGCCCATGAAGTGAGCAGAGTCCAGAGGAGCAAGGAGGGTTCTGGCCTTTTAAGCCAGCAGTAACCCTTCCATGGAGTTTGCTTTGGGAATGAGAGCCTCTAAAATACGGGGGGACACCCTACCTCCTCCCATGTGGGGCGCTTTGGGCATCCACGAGGGCACAGGCACAGGCATGTGCGTGCGCACACGTGCGCGCGCGCACACACACACACACACACACACACACACTGACTGCCCAAATTTGGGTCATAAGAGGACTGCAAACTGGGGAGGTGACAATGGGGAGAGAACAGGTTGGACTGGTGGCAGCTCTGTCACAGGGCAGGGTCATCCATGCCTGGGCCCCTAGCATGTGGAGGACAGGGACAGGTGAAGGCAGTTCTGTGCAGCTGGCACTCACCCACTCGTTCTGCCCGCAGGCATTTACTGGGAACTGCTCCTGGCAGGCACAGCTGTGAATGGGCAGACAGAAGGCTCTTCCACCGAGACCAATATCCCTCTCTGCAGATTTAATGCTCAGGAGGTGGGTCAGACCAGAGGCCTAAGCAAGGTTCCTGGAGTTCCAGGGCCCAGGGACCCCCTGGGGACATGAAGCTCCTGCTTTCTGCCACACAGTGAGTAGAAAGTCCTTTTCTCTGACCCCGAACGCTGTCTTCTGCCAGCATCTAGGAAGTGATGGCAGGCTCGGTTGTTAGTTTGCAAGTGGGATCAAATCTCAGACCCTTCCCACTTCTCAATACACTCAAACAGAAGCTGCCCCAAGGCCCAGCCCAGCGTCTGGATGCAGAACTGGGGCTGAGGGAGAGCAGGGAAGATTTATGGCAGCTTTTGTAGGAACCACGAGATTGGACAAGAATTGGGTTTGGGGCTCCAGCGGGTGCTGGGTCATGGTGGGATGAGAAGAGGGCAGCCTCCATACCAGATCTCTCCTGTCCAAATCCTGGCTCTGCCGCTCGCTGTGTGCAAGGTCACTGCCCTCTCTGTGCTTTGGTTACCTTTAAAAGGTAGGACTCAGATGGGGGGTAATGAGTAACGACGGGAAAAGCACATAATGCCTGGCACACGAGATTGCTACAAAAGGTTCCCAGTGATTCATTCAGCAGACCAGGGCCCTAGGGCAAAAACGGCATGGGAATGAGAAATACCCTCCACCTGAGGCCTGTCCAGCTGTCCAGCTGCTTCCCAGGGCCATTTGGGGTAATAGTGCTCCCAGCAGAGTTGGGGGACCCCTAACACGACAGACCCCTTGCTCCTAGGATGGGCCAATTCTCTCTTCCTCAGGATAACAGAGTCCCAGGGGACCCAGAGGTGGAAGACAGAGAAAAGCCACCCTGGTTGGTTTCCTGCCAGAGGGGACCTGGTCCTCAGGCAGGTAAGGGAGAGGCTTGGAGGGAGAGACCAGCATCAAGCCCAGGAGACCAGGCTTCTGGTGGACACCTGTGCTCCCTGATAGCAAAAGCACAGGGGAAGTGAAATTCTGATGAAAAACAAAGTGGACAGAGCCAGGGAAGTAAGCAATATGAATTCAAGGCTTGAGCGAGACACCTGACTTCACCTCCAAGACTGCTCCCCATGCCCTGCCTCAGTTTACTCACCTGGAAAAGGGGGGGGTCACTGTAGCCCTTCCTAGAGGTGCCGGGAAGAGTGCAGAGAAGCCTCTGGAGAGGCGCCTGTGCAGACTAGCTGGAGAGGAGAGAGCTCTCATGGTTATTCCGCCCACCCTCCGATGTCCCTTCCAGCCCCCGACCTCCCTTCGGGTGGCGGGCCAGGGCCTTGCCGTCGGCCTCCGGGTTCCTTGGGCGGAGGCCTTGAAGGCGGGCGCGGTCCTGAGGGCGGGGAGCGGGCTCTCAGCAGGGTCCCGGGACAGCGAGGGGGGTCCCAGGGCCGGGGGCGGAGCCGGGGACTCC